GGGGGGGGGACACACGTTGGGGACCCCCCCGGGACCCCTCAGTGCCTCCCAGGGCCCCCCAGTGCCTCCCAGTGTCCCCAGTGTCCCCCCCTCCTTGGGGCTCGCCACCAAGTTCACGCAGAAACTGGGGGGGGACACACATTGGTGACCCTCCTGGGACCCCCCGAGACCACCCAGTGCCCCCCAGTGCCTCCCAGTGACCCCCCGAGACCACCTGGGACCCCCAGTGTCCCCCCCTCCTTGGGGCCCGCCACCAGGTTCACACAGAAACTGGGAGGGGGACACACATTGGGGACCCCCCCCAAGACCACCCAGTGCCTCCCAGTGCCTCCCAGTGTCCCCAGTATCCCCCCCTCCTCGGGGCCCATGGCCAGGTTCACACAGAAATTGGGGGACGCACGCCTTGGGGACCCCCCAAAACCACCCAGGATTCCCCAGTGCCCCTCAGTGCCCCCCCGTGTCCCCAGAGCCCCCCAAATTCCCCTCACTCCCCCCAGTGTCCCCCCCCAGTGCCTCCCAGTGCCCCCCAGTACCTTTGGGCGTGGTGGGCCACCACCCCCTGCACGTAAATGGCCATCCCAGGAGAGAGCCCCCGGGGCACCGGGGCCACGTAGGGCAGGGGCTGGTTTGGGGGGGGACACGGGGTCAGGGGGGGCCCAAAATGTCCCTGGAGGGGGGACACGGGGACCCCCCAGGACACCAAAACCTGAGGGGGGACTTGGAGACCCCCCCAGGATCCCAAAATTGGGGGAGGGGGACACGGGGTCAGGGGGACCCAAAATGTCCCCTGGGGGGGGACACGGGGACCCCCCAGGACTCCAAAATTGGGGGAGGGGGACACGGGGTCAGGGGGGCCGAAATGTCCCTGGAGGGGGGACACGGGGACCCCCCAGGACCCCAACATTGAGTGAAGGAGACATGGGGACCCCCCAGGACCCTAAAACCTGTGGGGCCAAGGGGTGACAGCAACCCCAAAACCCAGTTTGGGGATGACAGGGACCCCAACCCCGTCCCTGGGAGGGCCACAGGGACCCCCCAAGACCCAAACCCCTGGGTTTGGGGGTAACAGGGACCCCAACCCTGTCCCTGGGGGGGGGTCACAGGTACCCTGAGCCCCGCCCCCTTCATTTTTGGGGTGTCCCCCCAGCCCCCCCCTCCCCGTTTTTGGGGTACCCACCGGGTTGTAGGCGGGCATGTACCCGGGCGCGGGGACAAAGGCCATGGCTGCTGGCACTGGTGACACTGGTGGCACTGGTGGCACTGGTGACAGCGGTGACACTGAAGGGGGACCTTTATACCCCCCCCACGTGGGGGCCCCCCCAATTCCGGCCCCTCCCAGGGGGGGGGGGTGGACTTTGACCCCCCCTCCGGACACAGGAAACGGGGAGGGGGGTGTGACACACCTGGCCCAGGGGACACACCCGGCACAGGGGACACACCTGGCACAGGGGACACACCTGGCACAGGTGGCACCGCCCCGGACTCTGCCCTGGGAGGGGCCAGATGGGACACGGGACACTTTGGACCTTCGCCCTCCCCCAGACCCCACAGGGGGGGCACTTTGGGGACCCCCAGACCCCCCGATGGCACTTTGGGGACCCCCAGACCCCCAGGAGCACTTTGGGGACCCCCAGACCCCTTGTGGGACTTTGGGGACCTCCAGACCCCTGGTGATACTTTGGGGACCCCCAGGAGCACTTCGAGGACCCCCAGACCCCCCCGATGGCACTTTGGGGACCCCCAGGAGCACTTTGGGGACCCCCAGGCCCCCAGGAGCACTTTGGGGACCCCCAGACCCCCCAGTGGCACTTTGGGGACCCCCAGGTCCATGGCAGCCCCCCCCATCAGTCCCATCTGGGCACTTTGGGGACCCCCCAGACCCCGCCCCCAGTGACAGGACAAGACCAGGGGCCTTGGGGACAAACTTGGGTTTATTGGGGACACCGAGGGGACACCAGAAATGGGGAAGGGGACACCGGGGAGGGATTTGGTGGCACTGAGGGGACACCAGAGCCCGGGGGACATTCAGAGGGGGTTGGTGGCACTGAGGTGACATTAAGGCTGGGTGGAGGGGACCTTGGTGGCCCCCCAGTGACCATCAGAGCCCGGGGAAGGGTTGGTGGCACTGAGGTGACATTAAGGCTGAAGGGGATGTTTGGGGACACCCCGGTGACATTAGAGCCTGGGGGACAGGGAGGGGACACGGAGGGGACCTTGGTGGCACTGAGGTGACATCAGAGCTTGGCGAACGGGACGTCCTCAGGGCCCTTCTTCTCCAGGGCCGCCTGCACCGACTTGAGGATGTCCTCGGTCTGCAGCATGGCCATGTTCCACGTGGCCTGGGGACATGGGGACACTGGGGTGGGGACAGGGACAGGACACCCCTGGGGACAGGGACACCCCTGGGGACACAGGGACACCGGGATGGGGACAGGGACACCCTTGGGGACAGGGACACAGGGACACCGGGACACTGGGGTGGGGACAAGACACCCCTGGGGACAGGGGACACAATGACACCAGGACAGGGACAGGACACCCCTGGGGACAGGGACACAGGGGACACAGTGACACCAGGACATGGTGACACCAGGACAGGGACAGGGCACCCCTGGGGACAGGGGACACCCTTGGGGACAGGGACAGGGGACACAGAGACACCGGGGTGGGGACAGGACACCCCTGGGGACAGGGATGTGACAACCCTGGGGACAGGGGACACCCCTGGGGACAGGGACACGGGGACATGGGGACATCGGGATGGGGACAGGGACACCCCTGGGGACAGGGGACACCTGGGGACATGGATGTGACCCCCCTGGGGACAGGCAGGACGTGGGAGGGGACGTGGCATTTGGGGGATCTCGGGTGACAGGAGGTTTTCGGGACGGGGGACAGACAGACACGGCCTTTGAGGGGTGTCCTGGACTTTGGGGGGGCTGTCCCAGATTTTGGGGGGTGTCCCGGGTTTTAGGAGGGTGTCCTGGGATTGGGGGCTGTCCCAGGATTTGAGGGGTGTCCTGGATTTTGGGGGGCTCTCTCAGATTTGAGGGGTGTCCCAGATTTCGGAGGTTGTCCTGGATTTGGGGGGTGTCCCACATTTAGGGGGTGTGTCCCAGATTTTGGGGGGTGCCCCAGGTAATAGAAGGGTGCCCTGGGACTGGGGAGTGTCCCAAGATTTGGGGGGTGTCCCAGATTTAGGGGGTGTGTCCTGGGTTTAGGTTGGCTGTCCCAGATTTTGGGGGCTGCTCTGGGATTGGGGGGGGTGTCCCAGATTTTGGGGGGCTGTCCCAGATTTGAGGGGGGGGGGGTGTGTCCCACATTTTGGGGGTCTGTCCCAGCCTTTGCACCCACCATGTGCTGCAGCCCCTCTGGGGTGGGTCGGTCCCTCGAGTAGACCAGGTTGATCTTGGTGCCCTGCACGGCCACGGGGCTGCGGGCGGCGATGGCCACGGCCACCCCCAGGGCCACCTCCAGCAGCGTCGCCTTGTCCGGCAGCACCCGGCTGGGGGGGGCACGGGGTCACCCCAAAATACACCCCCAGGGACCCCAAAACCCACCCAGAGACCCCCAAACCCACCCTGGCCACGGCCACCCCCAGGGCCACCTCCAGCAGCGTGGCCTTGTCCGGCAGCACCCGGCTGGGGGGGCACAGGGTCACCCCAAAATACACCCCCACACCCCAAAAATACACCCCAGGG